CAACAAGCTTTGAACCATTTTCAGGTCTTTGAAAACGACGAGTCAATCAAAATATTGGCCAGAAAAAAAATTTCCACCCATCAACCTCGAAGCAGAAGCAAAATTAACAATTTAAAAACACTGACTTGTACATTGGCTAACCATCGCAAGTCATTTTATCGGTCACATACGCATTCAATACGCCTCTATGATTATGAATGGAAGTCGGGTGCAGGGGCACATCCCCCTGACAGGATTGTTTGACGCCCCAATACTTTATTAAAGACTTTACGTGGACCATACCGGGAATTGTAGCAACAGCATATGTAAGAGTCAAACCCTTTATCCGCAGCGCTGGAGTACCTAATAGCAGTTCATACTTATCATCGGAAGCACTCCCAAAGATCGCTAGAAAACTAGCCTCTCGTTTCGTTATTTTTAAAGGTTCTTTCATTTGTTTCACGACACCAAGCATGTCTACTAATCCAAGGGGATGGTTGAATGACGAGAAAAAGGAGAAAACGGGTTTTACCTGCGGTCACTAGAGATTCTGTATTAGGAAATCGTCTCCTTACTCGCAAGGATATATCACGGAATACGAGAACCTGAATAGTTGCATTTTAAGCCAATTTTGCTGAATTCCAAAACGATTATGAGAGACCGAAATGCACTAAACTAATGAGACTGATGACCTGAGAGAGCACTAGGTATCTAACTATGGTTCGACGAGCGAGTATGATTTCCTTGGTATCACCGCGGAAGAGTGTCGCAATCGTTAGTGCTGCACTGAAGGAATTTTGATTTACAATTGTTCAAATAAATTTCATTGGCATTAATCTTCTTTGAGCAGACATAGCGAAACTAGGTAGATTCTTGTTAGTCATGTGGCACTACGCCAACAGTTGTTCATATAGGTAACCTATGGTTTCCTAAACATTCCCTGGTGAAAATTGATCTTTTTGCCAGAAATGCGTACTCATTGTTTCGTTTTGTTTGTCCGAAAGGAACTGNCATTCCCTGGTGAAAATTGATCTTTTTGCCAGAAATGCGTACTCATTGTTTCGTTTTGTTTGTCCGAAAGGAACTGCCTTAAGACCAAATGACGCACTATGACAAGCACGGTTTGGATATCCAAGCGCGGAACGATATCTGCCCAAACCAACCAAGCCCTTCATCTCTCCGGGTTTGGCCAGCTAGTATCAGACTGGCATGAAAGGATAGAGCACTGGCTTGTACATTGGTTGTAAACCTCATTACATTACACAGGCAACATACGCATTCGAATGGCCACTACGATTCTGAATGGAAGATGAATGCGGGGCGCATAAAAAAGCGAGACCGGTTATCTCATATGTCGAAAAACTTGTCTTCAATGATCGTTTTATTCTCTGCAGTCTGCTCTGACTTATGAGGGTGTTTAAGGGGAGCCAATTAAAGGTAGATTTTTCTTCAAAAGCGGAAGTATAGGTTGAGAATAGCATACCGGTAGTGAAGGAAGCTAGGAATTCACCTATCTCGAGAAAATAAGACTCCTTAAAAGTAGGAAAAATAGAGGTTTGGCTAGATCACCATGACTGAAGCAACATGAAAGGGATGTCGGACGAGATATCATTTGTTGCAGTTTCGCAAAGAGCTGACTACATAGAGCCAGAACTGTACAGAACTGCCTTTCACTGTCGCTATGGGTCATGACAAGTTGTTTGAACTCCCTACATGGGTTCCCGTGCAATTGGTGCAGCTTCTACAATGCCGGTGAAACTCATCCGTGGAGGCGCACGGTGCAATCTTTGAACCTTTATAACTCCGAAGCCAGGCCGTTTTCCGACCTAATAGCGCCAGATAGGTATAGGAGGGGACCTCGAATTCATCCTACGGGGAAACTTCGGAATTCATTTTTATCGTGAATTGTAACGTCAAGCTTTAAACAGTTTTTGTAGAAAATCACAAATACATTATGTATAAGGATCAAGATGATCAAAACAGCCTAGAAATGTTCAATTTGAAGGTGGTTTTTCTGATTAAAGCTGCAGTTTCGCCGATTTTTCGCTCTCATGGCAATATACAAGGCAAAAAAATCACTTCTCAATCCAGCCCATGTTGTTGAATATGTTTCGCCATCGATCAACGATAATTGTTACGAAGAAACCGAGCATAAACGTAAGCGGGATATAGTCCAGTTTTTTGTCGCAGTGTGCAGCAATTTTCTCAAAAGTTCTGAAAATCATAACCGTTCCCTATTTCAGCGCCGGATACTGTTGTCTACAAATTACCGTACCGCATTTGATCCGTGTTCATTGCATATCGATATGTAAAGAACACAACGTAGTAACACATTATCCATAGAAAAAGTTCGTGGATCACCGATTTCCATATGGAGCCACGCCATCGAAAAAGTAGACGTAGAAATGAAAATGTAGTTACTGACGAGACATCCAGGTTGTAGGAAATCGTCATTTCGTCAGAAAAAGCCAACTACTGCGACGGCTTCCTGAGAAACTCAGTTATAGACACCATTAAAAGGAATTGATCATAAAGTCGGGCACGAGGTTCGCTCACGACTGTGACGGAGACAAAAACAACACGGAGAGCGGACATTGGAATATCGGAACTGAGAAAGTTAGAAGAAAGCAAGATGCTCAAGTGAGATAGTAAAGGATATAGATTTGCATCAATCAATACCTATAAGATGCACAAGATCAAATAAAGCCCAAATGAAGCAGAGCAATAAGGGTTACTTTGTTGTTTCGGAGTAGAGGCCTCCCGATACTCAATAAAGCGGAAGTTCTCTCTTGGGTTCTTTTCAGGACATATTCGATGCTTGGTTATACTTGAAGGAAGCAAAGTGTAAAACGGCGCGGCTACCAAACTTAAGATCCTGGGATCAAGTTCTGAATCGATATGCGCTCAAACCGAGAAAGAGGTATTTAGCGTCTTTTTCGTCTAACCACGTAATCCTCCGGAAGATATATTTTGAAAGCATGCTCTTTACTAACTAGTCTTAGTCATAAGTAGGCCATAGGAGCACAGTTTGAGGCCAGAAACAAAGAGGATTACTGGAGTTGACTACCATTTGCATAATGGAGTATTGTTCACGACGGATCATAGAACAACATTATGGTCGAGGTTCCAGGAATATTAAGGAAGGGAGAGGCTAGAAAAAAAAGGTCCATTCCAAATAGATAGAGAAAAGAAGGGTTTTCCTTCTAGCAAGCAGATAATGGACCCAAATCGAAGGTACAAAAACCATCTCATGAATGTACGCTCATGTGGTACAAAGCGCCAGGAGCAGCGATAGCTATGAAGATGAAGAGAACGACTTTACAGTCTTCATATCCCATTGAGCCGCTTTTGAAAGATAATGGGCGCTAGCCTGAAGAGCTCTATTGAAAGCTGCACCTTATCGCCGTATGAATATAGCTCAGATTAACATGGAAAAGTTAAATTGGCCAGATAGATAAGAGACGATAAATTTCCTAAATACATGAAAAAATGTGTAGTGTGAATAGATGAGATTGACGAAACGTTGTAGCTGTATGGCTGATTGAATCACCATCTAGCCTCTAATTGCTTTAGCCAGTCACATCTTTACTGCGTTCCCCAAACTCGAACTTCGGATTGTATGAATGATTGATAAAGCCTTGATCAATCGAGTAATTTAGTATGTGCCCCTCATTTGACTTTCGTTCAGAATCGTGGTGGTGGTTCGGACGCGTAGGTGGCCTATATAATGACTCGCGCTTTTCCCTAACCGACAAATCTGGTTCCGGTTGATCGGGAGGTATGGTTGCCCTAGGCTAATATGGCGAATACGGTATTCGAAGCCTAGACCGTGCGCTTGTGATAGTGGCCCTTTTGCCACTACATCATCTTCCCTCTCGTCGACTATAAATTATCAACAAGCAACATAATATGGCTGCAATAAATTGGTTGGTGGCTGAGCCGGATTGTTGGCGTGAGAGATGTGAGCAGCAGAAATAAAAACTTTAAAAAGTTCCTCTAAGTCAATGATCAGTAGATGTATCGAAAGGCGTTGGAAATGAATAATGATGAAGTAATAAGTCTTTTCTGTCAATCAATGATCCAATAGCTGGCTAGTTCTACAAGTGAAAGGCAGCAACTGAGAGGGGAGATCGATACGAAAAGCGAATTCTTACTCATCAATCAAGTTTTTCCTCCGCTGCTCGTCCAGAACTGCGTAAGACATTAACCCATCATCTTGATACGGAAATGGTGAACCCGCGCGCCTATGGCACGTGGCTCGTGCTGTTAGCCAGTAACAGTTTTGTCCTCAAACATGTGTATTCCACGTGGTATATTGCCAGAATTAATAGAAGTTGCTAGCAGTACGCGTGGCGTTGTGGCAAATGGCGCACACTGTCGCTTTCTGAGGATCGAATCCGAGCTTGATGTCCACCCAGGCTAATGAAGCCCTTTATCCCTCCGGGGTCGGTTGATCAGTACCAGATTCGTTTGAGAGAATAAAAGCACTAACTTGTACGTCGGCTGGCCACCAAACGTCTTTGTGTAGGCCACATACGCATTCAATACGCCACTTCGATTGTGAATGAAAGTCGAATGCGTGACGCATCAAAAAACTTGACTGGCTAATGTAACCGAGCTCGTCTAATGAGATCTTTTGTTCTATGTAGTATGCTCTAATTTTATGAGGGTATTTTATGAGGGTACGNTCATAAATCTGGTCCTACTACTTAGAAAAAACTGTAATGTGAACAGGACGGGTGTTTTTCAAACTTTGCTATAGCCCACTATGAATTTTTACTGGACGGGTGCATGCTTTTGCCTCGTTTAACTTGATTTTGTAAAGTGAATAGCTGGAAAAGAATTATTTGAAGTTTAATTACTTGAGTGACATAGAAAGAATAGCGAGCATCCGTCAAAAATACCGTAATCTAGGTTTTCCTTATCTGGGAAGTGGTACGGCTGAGTCCACCTGTGTAGAAGATGTACACAGCATGCCCCACAAGTCGATTTCGTGCAAAATCCCAGTGTCGATTAACTCGATCAATTTTTTTGCCTCAATCATTCTGTCATTTGCAGTTCCTGCTTTCTTAAGTCTGAACAGCTTTCCTGATGTGACAGCTCTGTGATCGGAATCCAAGAGATAAGCAGAATTGACAAAAAGTAAAGGTGATTTCTGATGGGCTACAGTAAATGACCGTAATCTATTGCAAAGGTTACAAAAAATTTTACGGTTTCTAGTCTTGGTAATTTTCCTTAGATGATCATGCTTATGAGGTCGGCAGGCCCTCTAAGGAACACTTCAAAACGTGAAAAAACAGCTCCAGATCAATTAGCTAGTATTCAAACAAGTGCGCTCGAAAGAATCTCGAGATCAAGAAATGAAGCGAGATTATAGATTATTTTGCAAAGTGTAAAGAGCTCAGACAGTGCTGAAGAAGTCTTCGTAAAAGATAAGAGATCGTAACTGGAGATTGTCATCGGCGATTGCCTACGAATGTTTTCACTCGATAGCAACATTCTCGCGATTATCTATCGACCAAGACATATGATTGATTTCAACGTGCCTGAGTTTTGGGCAAAAAATCTAGCCACAATCGACTTTTTGAAGAGGTTGAGCTACAAATATCAGGATTTCAAGAGATATCAGCACTCACATTACTCACGAACCTAGATCAAAAAATTTCCCAACGCTCCTCTTTGAAATGAAGTCTTTTACATTGGTCCGGCTGATAGAGGAATGGGAAGGAGTTGATTGCCCCAGAAACAAAGGGAAAGCAAAAGCTGCTCATAACCACATAACTCACGTCTCGCTTATTGCGCATGAGCTTCTGGATGATTCTGAAACATAAAGTATGTTTCTGAACAGCGTTAAATTAGTCTCCTTCCGCTCCAGACTCCCTGAAGTAAATGAGCAAAAAAGGAAATTGTCTATTATCTATCTTCCCAATCGTTGAAGACCGGTTCTCAGCGGTGCTACCAACTGATAAAAGTAATAGAAGTATGGGAAAGTACCCATTACCTCTAGTTGGGCGCGATCTCGCCGTTTTGTATGATAGATCAATGAATTTCAAGCGCTTGCTCAGCAGTATAGAGTAAATGCATACAAAATAAGTATTAATACAAAACAGAGTGACAAAACAGCAGAGTATAAAACGAAATAGCTTCTGGATGGAGTATAATGGCCAATATTGTGACTGTCTCAGAGGAAGGAGCTGAGTCAGGCAGTTTTTCTTTCTCTTAATGTCGTCGGGCTATCAAAGATGCCTTCTTGCAACATACCATCATAAAAAATATTATCGTTCGTAAAGCTGACAAAAAAAGGATGATTAAGCACGGCGAATTCAAAGGCGTCAAAGTGAAAGAAACACTTTTTAATCTGAACTTTCAGAATGAAGTTATAGGTAAAATTTCAACGAGTTAGTGATCGGTGGGAGAAATCGGGAGATACGGCTAGTAAGGAGAAGTGCCAGATGTTGAAAGCATGCTTCGAGCAGAACAGTAAATCCCATCGTTGCAAAGAATCCTCCTGATTGACTATGCAAATCATTTTTCTGACATTTTCAACCCTTACTCAATTCGATGTTTGATTGGAAGTACGTAGATTGTCAGTCCAAATCCATTCAAAAGGAAAGTGTATGAACCGAAAAGAATAAAAAAAGTGAAGTGTTCAAGTCTACATAAGATTATTCTAGACATGTTTATGAAAGTAATGTTGGGGAGAAACGAATCTTTCCCATATTTCGTCTTTGCTATTGGTATTTAATCTGTTACCAATAGCCAATTTTCTCAATATTAGGTCCACATGAATTCTCTCCAGACCATATGGTTTCAGAGGTGCCTTCGTTTACTTTTTTTTATGTAATCCTGAAGATTATCCTTCAAAACGTGAGAAATTTCTGCAAGTTCTGTTACCTTAAAAAAATTACTTTTTGAAAACTGCCTGGTCCGAAAACGAGAGTTAACAACAACATCGTAGGGTGATTCGAAGGCTGTTTTTCTTCTTGAGTCGGTAAATGGGTAGGATTTCGCACTTATGCATCAGATAAGAACTTGTTTGTTTATGTAAAGACTCTTTAAAAAAATTATTCATGCAAATCCATTACTTGTTTGCGGAGTTTCTTTTTACATTATCGAAATTTTATTAAAAAAAAGTTCGACGCCGTCCGTAAAAGGCAATAGTAGTAGGGACTGCCCACACCATACCCTACAAACTCCTTAAAAAACATTTTAGTGGGCTTTCCGATAAACTTTGATGGCGAACAACATCCAGAAATAAATTGAGCAGTTCGATCAGTGGGACAATAAACAACAACATAAACAGAGGAATAAAAGAAAGAACTCAAAAGAAAAAGTACGGAGAGAGGATTGAAAGGAAAGGCTCTACTGGTCTCAAAGGCTGCTCCTTCATTCGCTTATACAAGCGTTAATTTTTCTTTTGGCAAGGGATGGACCATGGTAGTCAAGGGAGGAGC